GGGAGGGACTTCCTGTCTGTGTCTGCTCCATGGATCTATTATAATAATCTATATCTATATAATAATCGCTGGATAGGGTATTACTAGGTTGGTGCTGATGGACCCGTTCTTGCGGTACTGCAGACTAAACTAGACAAAATTTCTCCGTAGAACTCAGTATGAACTAAAACGGCCCGACTGCAGCTGACAGAGAACCTACAGCTCTCACAAAGGTTGGATTTTGTGGGGATTTTAGTGTCCCTTGTCGTCCTGAACTTTTTTCCTTCTAAAATCCTTCAGGTTTTATTGAATCCGCACTTTAGTGCCACACTCTGCTCGGTCGTTGCCCGCTCTAGTTTCGCTCTTATCTGCAGCGCTGATTGTTCAAAGCGCGGCCGAGCCCCTCTGTGCATGAGAGCCACACACGCGTATTTGGAGCAATGCATCATGGGAGCTCGTCCACTGCGCAGAACCGGAAGGACCAGACGATGTCCAATTATGGGCAAGTTCTGCTAAACTTTTGGTCCCCATGGTGGCACATGCGCCACTGAGCACAAGCCATTCATTTGGATAGGACGCCATCTCGGATCACCGGGGCTTGGTCTGCTCTCAGACTGAATAAAGTAAAGTTTTTAGTGGTTTGTGCTAAAGCTGCTGCTTCACTGTAAACTCTCAAACGCTCTTTTCTGCTGTAGAACCAAAAGCAGTGAAATACTTCAGCCCAAACAGAAGTATCATTAGCATACTGCAGTGCATTGTGGGTAAGCCCATGCGACTCCTCAGACTGAGGCCAGCATGGCTGTGAATGATGCTCTGTGTGGGCCCCTGTACAACTCATACTTACCTGGCAGGGGAGATACCATGATCATGAAGGTGGTTCACCCAGGGCGAGGCTCAACCATTGCACTCCGGTTGTGCTGACCTTTGCGAATTCCCCAAATGTGGGAATCTCGACTGCATAATTTCTGGTAGTGGGGGACTGCGTTCGCGCTCTCCCCTGATCAACTGGTTGAAAGACAAATATCCACAATATCCATCAGCTGATTCTGCTGGTCACTTTCATTTACAAACAGTTTTTAGAATTCTCCATCGTCACATGTCTGTGAACCATGTGTGTCTTCGCGTAATCTGTGGACCCAATAAATACACCGCTGCAGGAAACAGTCCACGTCTCCCCTCTCCTCTCGAAGCGCGACTAAACGCCCTAAAGCAAAATGTTGTGAACAAATCAAACTGATTTAGAGACAGCCAATGGCTGACAATATGCATTTCAGACTTTTTTGACCAATTCTCATCCCTGTAACAAACAATAGTGTTGTCTGTGTCCACCTCCCTCACTTTGAGACATGTTTATTACTCTGTTTAATGTAGACTATTGTACTTTATTTTATTGGTGAAACTACATACAGCCTGATCCTCTACAGTATTTGCTTCCACATACTGAATAAACCAGGGGTCGGCAACCTGCCTGTTCCTCAAGTGGCTCCTGGAGCCTTTTAAAAAATGTCTGAAAATGGAGTGGGATGGCTATATTTTATTTCTAGTTTGTTTTTCCTCCTACAGAAACAAAATTCAGTCTTAACGTTTTTTAAATGCTGTAAAATGTGCGCAAGTAATATTCAGTTTAAATTGATTTAAATTAAATCAATTTAAATTCTGTCAACGTAGTGCGTCATATCCGGTGACGCGGCCCCGCGCCAGGCGGCCGCTGTGGTAAACGAACCAGCGTGTGCTCATGGATCCCAAAGCTAAAAAGAGAAGGAGTCGATAATAAAACTGGACTAAGAATAAGAATGAACATTTGCACATTTGTCAATGAGGAAGGACTGCTTCATGTTTGTAATGAGAAGTTTTGTTGCAACACGAGGAACAATGAACACCGTTCACTGAAGGATTCATTCATCACAAATTCAGAGCACCTTTTTTCAAACTTAAAAAAACCTCTACAAAGACAGTGAAAGAAAGGGCCATTAAGGACATTAATTCAGCTCCTGCAAACTTCAGCCTGTGATGTGATCGATATGAGCAGATGCAGGTATGCAGGTATGTGAAGCAGATTTATTTACTGTATTTGTACAATTGCATGAAGGCAAAAAAATGGAAGTTAAAGCAGAGTCGTCACGTGGTGCGTCATTCTCTCCAGGACTCGCTGCAGTGAAAATACACATTTGATATCATGAATGCTTATGTCTTTGTAACCTTTGCTTTGTCATTTATATATTAGGCTAATATAGCTAATACAGCTTCAGCCTGTGTTACCTTCATATAAGCCTTATACAAGGCTCCAGACAGATGTTGTTTTTAGTTTTTTTGTCAAATATAGCTCTTTGAACCTTTTGAGCTGCCGACCCCTGGTATAAACAAACTGTAAAAACGTGAAAAAACATGTCTGGGCCGCCGGGAAGGCAAAAATGCCTGGGCCGTTTTTCGGTCCGAGTCCAGCCCTGCTGGACACAGACGCTGCAGAGCTGCATTATTGTAGAAGAACTTTATACAAAAAGCCTCTAGCTTTACTCCGTTAGCATCAAAATCCGCCCACTACTTCCACCACTTACGGCGGTAGCCACTGCTGGCCAGGACTTCTGGTGTGAAGGCCCTTGTGTCTGAAAATTTAGAGAATGTACGTCTGGTGCGTGAGACCTCAGCGTTCCAGCGTCAGCGGTGTGAAGGCACCATTAGTCACAACGTTTTAAAGAATCCTTTAAACAACATAATTATTTTTGAAATGCCAAAAAAAGGGGTTTGGTACTGGCAGCTTTGCATTTGTGTATGAAGACATGTGTTTAAAGTGAGACCAGAACGTCCCAGAAGTGGACATTCTGCACAACACACTGTGAGAACGTAGTGTCGATGCGACCACAGTTAACCTTCCTTTGGACGGCTTCATAGACAGGACATGGACTGAGAGATAAGAAAATGAGGAAAAGAGAAACTTTTCAACACTGTCAAGGATCAAGACATTTACACAATGGGGCAGCAGGAATTACATAACATCGCCATGTTGTCCATTGAAATTTAATTAATTTGTGGATTGATGGATTTTAACGGATGGATTTTGAATGACTTATTGACGAGTTTCCCAGATGAAAGATCGGCTGCATCCTTTCTATTCAAGAAATGAACAACACTGGTGAGTGGCATTTTATTTTGAACCATTCAAAGGTTTTATTCATGGGCTTTATATGTTAGGTTGTGCATAAAAAATGGGCCGTGGTCCTGAATTGAATTTATTGTGTAGATTTTGCTGCTTGAGGATGTAAAGTTCCCTCTTTGGTGTGAAGCTTTAAATACTAGAGAAAACACGTTTTGTAGTTTTAATACATGTTTTTAAAGAACTCGTGATAAAAGTATGACCCCAACAACGTGTCTTCTGTCAAATATAAAAAAACATTGAGCAACTTTCGCTTACGGCCACACCACCCTGAACATGCCCGATATCGTCCGATCTTGGAAGCCAAGCAGGGTCGGGCCTTAGTACTTGGATGGGAGACCGCCTGGGAATACCAGGTGCTGTAAGCTTTTGCATTAGCAGAGAGGAGTTACAGAAAAGGGCAGGCCACAAGGGACGACCTTGACCCCTTCTTTTTTTTTATGTTGGATATTTTTAAATATCTAATACAATTCTAAGCTGCATACACAGAACCAACACTGTAATGTATTTGACGTTTTAAGTTACACTGGTAACATGTGTTAAAAAGACTCCTCTGATCTGAAGTTTAGTGTTTTGTGAAGATGTGGAGACAGTTTCATAGAGAATAGTGTGAAAGCCTGAATGTTTCTTTTGTTCCTGCAGTGTCTTCTGCGTCATGTGGAACGGGGGAGGGAGAAGTGATTGTTTCTGGTATGAGACATTTGGGGGGAGGGACTTCCCGTCTGTGTCTGCTCTCAGACTAAAAAAAGTAAACTAGTTTTTTGTGCTAAAGCTGCTGCTTCACTTGCTTCACTGTGAACTCTCAGATGTCTTTTCTGCTGTAGAACCAAAAGCAGCTGTGCCTTTGAAATATTTCAGCTCAAACAGAAGTATCATTAGCAAACTGCAGTGCAGTGCATTGTGGGTAAGCCCATGTGACTCCTCAGACTGAGGCCAGCATGGCTGTGAATGATGCTCTGTGTGGGCCCCTGTACAACTCATACTTACCTGGCAGGGGAGATACCATGATCATGAAGGTGGTTCACCCAGGGCGAGGCTCAACCATTGCACTCCGGTTGTGCTGACCTTTGCGAATTCCCCAAATGTGGGAATCTCGACTGCATAATTTCTGGTAGTGGGGGACTGCGTTCGCGCTCTCCCCTGATCAACTGGTTGAAAGACAAATATCCACAACATGCATCTGCTGATTCTTATTTTCACTTTCATTTGCAGTCAAACTGTTTTTAGCAGTTTCCATCGTCACATGTCTGATTTATGAAGGAGTCTAAAGGAAGTGACTGGTTTTAGAGTCTTGTTATTTATAAAGAGCCAACGTCATCAAGGTACAATGTGATCAAAAGACATTTCGACCATTTTTTCACAAAGCCAAAAATTAGTTCGAAGAATAATTCTGTTCAAATATAGCTCCGTAGTGAAAGGCCCATGAATAAAAGATATCCCAAATTCTTTTTAGGAAAATAAAAGACATTTTCCTGAGTCTCAATATTATTAGTGCAAAAGACAATTTTCTCCAATATTGAATTTGGAATTGAAAAAAAATCTCTACCTGGAGAAATACGGTTTATAGTCTTAAAATATACTTCTTTGGGTTTCTGTGGAACTGGAAATTTAACATAATCACATCTAATGGATTTAATATTTCGACTTTTAAATTCTTACTAATTCTTGTCTTCTAAGAGACAAAGGAAAATGTGTGTAGTTAGAACAGTTAAAACAGATGTTTCAGCCACAATGCTATTGCCCTCTGGACCATGCCGATCTCTGAGTGTGTCTCAGATTGTGCTACCGGCCGTGGTGTTCGTCCTGGTTGCTCTGCTCTTCAGTCTCATTGTTCCTCCGTTTGGGAAATACCCAGCCACTGCAGCCCTGGATGTACGGAGAGCAGTTCACCTTTTTCAGGTCAGACACACACACTCATTTTCACACACACACAAATACACACATGCTCACCCTCACTCAAACATGCAGGCAGTTTTTAAATCTACAAATTCTTTCTGGAGAGGGAAGTCTGGGCATCTCTGCTTGGACGGCTGCCTCCGGTGACTGGGCAACGGAGAAAGCAGAAGAAATGGATGGATGGAGTGCACTTTCTGTTTTTTGTGACATGTGTTTTTTTTTTAATGTAAAAACAATATTTGATGAACCCCAGCTTTCAGAACTTTAAGGGTCGTCTCCTCTCTCTGCAGCCATGACGCCCCTGGAGACCCCTCCATGGAGAACCTCCTGGAGGCTCTGCTGGACCAGCCGGGGTTTGGGACCAAGTGCATGGACACGGCCGACCGAGGGGAGCCCAGGTCAGTCTAGCCCAGGGGTCGGCAACCCGCGGCTCCGGAGCCGCATGCGGCTCTTTAGTGCCCCTCGAGTGGCTCCTGGAGCTTTTCAAAAATGGAGTGGGAGGGGTATATTTTATTTCTAGTTTCAATGTGGTTTCTGTAGGAGGGACAACATTGTTAACCTTTTCCAATGTAGTAAAAATGTGCATAAGAAATATTCAATTTTAAAATTTCTGTCAACTGAGATGTGCGTCATATCCTGCGACGCGCGGTGACGCGGCCGCGCGGCTGCTGTTGTAAACAAACCGGCATGTGCCACAGGAATCCCAAAGCTATAATGAGAAAGAGTTAATAAGAACCAAGAACTCGAGGAAGAATGGACTGGAACATTTGCTTTCATTGTCAGTGAGGAAGGACTGCTTCATGTTTTCTTTGTAATGAGAATATATCAAAGAACAAAAAGAGTCATGTGGAAAATTGGCCTCTGACCCCAGTTTGGAGAGAAACAGTGCGATCACAGTTATTCTGGAGTGGATCATCTCCAAACTTCTACTGCTGAATTTTTTGCAACACGAGGAACAAAGAAGTGCGAAACACCGTTCGGGACATTCAGCTCCAGCCAACTCCAGCCTTAACGACGTGATGGATATGAACAGTTCTGTGATGCAGGTATGTGAACTCTGAGCCAAAAACTGATTTATTTACTGTATTTCTACAATTACATGAATGCAACAAAAGGAAAGTTAAACTTAAAGCATATATTGTATATCAGAGTAGTTACATTACTAACATTAGCAACATTATTATTCCCATAGAAAATACAACATAATTACCACTGTTACTGTTTTTTATTAGTTTTATTACTGACACTAGTCTGCTACTAATACTACACAAGTTGTCTGTAGGTATAAAACTATATTATCAACTGTTCTGATCAATTCAAAATATTTTTTCATGGCTCACATGAATGAAGTTTGTACAAAACATACATTCCAGAATGGTGACATCTAATTCTTTTTGCTTTTCCTTCTAGAACTCCAGTCAAATCTGAGTTTCTGAGAGCAGTGACTCTGAAAGGGGGAGAGGAGGAGGAGGAGCAGCCAGAGGAGGAAGAGGAGCAGCCAGAGGAGGAAGAGGAGCAGCCAGGAGAGTCTAGAATAAGAAGAGCACGACCTGCTGGTTATAAAGAAGCCCGCTTTATTAGTCCCACAGTGGGGAATTAAAACAAAAATGCAACTCATCACCACTTTAGAAACAAGTCTTACTTTTATTTCAATGTTTGGGAATAAATGTGTAAAAAATCTGACATAATATAAATAAATGTGCTGTGTCCATCTTTGATTGCTGTCTCTGTTCAGGGACCAGATATCAAGTTCTAGAAAAAGAAAAAAAAATATATTTTATATCATTGAGACTTTTTTCACATTTGATTATCATCACTACCTGTCCTCTGTTGTGTCTGCTCCAGTTCAGCTGCAGGAGGAGGGATGAGGAGGACAGGACCCAGGGCCCTGGGGTCATGAGCCCCCAGCAGAGCTGAGGTGCTGGTCTGGGATAGAGCTGTAGTCTTCAGTCTCCTTCACAGTGCACACTGTAACACTGAGACTTTTTGCTGTAGTCTCGTTCATGTCTACAAATCATTAGTGTAGACATCAGTACAAATAATATATTTCTTTATCATCAAGATACAGTATGAAAGCAATAAAGTATGACTCACGATACTGGGCCTTCCCTGTTCACATGCACTGGGCGATGGTTATGGTGTTATTGTCTGTTATTGTCTAAGACAAGAAATTACAGCATGTGTGAAAAAAGTTATACCATGTCAAGGTAAGGCAAGTTTATTTATATAGCACAATTCATACACAAGGCAACTCAAAGTGCTGAACAAAACAAGAAAGCATTAAAATCATAAATTATCACAGAACATTAAAAAGAAAGATAAAAATATAAAATCCCTCAGTTGTATGCACAGTTAAACAGAACTGTCTTTAACCTGGTTTTAAACATTGTCAGAGAGGAGGCCTGTCTCACATCTTCAGGAAGACTGTTCCAGATTTTAGCAGCATGAATCTGAAAAGCAGCCTCCCCATGTTTAGTTCTGACTCTGGGCACTAACAGGAGTCCAGTCCCTGTGCTCCTCAGAGTCCGGGCTGGTTCATATGGGACTAACATGTCACTAATATATTTTGGTGCGAGGCTATGGAGAGACTTGTACACAAGCAGAGCTGTTTTAAAGTCTATTCTTTGAGCCACAGGAAGCCAGTGCAGAGACCTGAGAACTGGACTAATGTGGTCGTACTTCCTGGTTCTAGTCAGAACTCGAGCTGCTGCATTTTGAATGTACTGCAGCTGTTTTACAGCCTGTTTGGACAAACCTGTGAGCAGGCCATTGCAGTAGTCTAACCTACTGGAGACAAATGCATGGATAAGAATCTCCAGGTCTGCTTTAGACACTATGTTTTTGATCCTGGCAATGTTTTTTAGATGGTAAAAAGCTGCTGATGTTACTGATTTGATGTGGCTATTAAAATTTAAGTCTGAGTCCAGTATTACCCCTAGATTTCTGACCTTGTTTGAAGGTTTTAGGGAGAGGGACTGTAGGTGACACACAAAGAGAAAAAGTGACAATATCAGGTGACTTTATAACTGTGTAATGTTCATACAGACCATTAACTCCTCTCTGGGGCTTGTGTTCTGACAAGCATAACAAAAATGGTTAATGTCCTTGATCCATACAAGTATTGGCTTTTGACCAGAAACCATTCCAGCCTGTTGGAAGACACCAAAGTTATTTAAAAAAGTCTTACCAGACCTGGGTTATAGACACAATATAATATAATATAATATAATTCGACATACAGCACAAAGTTTCTTTGTTAGATTATTTGAGGCATGCCGGACATCGAGTGAAGGAATAATACCCTGATATCTGCCCTTTTCTGGATCTGTTCAGAACACAACAAAATAATCTTGTTGTAATTGCAATTCAAATTAAAAACTCATAAGCATGTTATGTCAAATGCAGAGGATTGAATTGCCCTGCGGGGATCAATCAAGTGCACCTTTACCTTTAATATTCCTTAGGCATAAGGGCAGCGATACTCGAGTATCAGTTACAATCTTTGCGATGTGCACCTCCTTTGTGAGTTTATCAAAGGTTTCGATAAAAAGCTGCCTTCTCCATGGCACCACTTTTACTGTCAACCCTTTCTTGGTCCACATTGACAACACTGATGATGTCCATGGTGTTTAGCTCCATTGTTGTGTATGTACAGCACATAGTCGAGGGATCTTTTTGGAAAAAAAAGTTAGATCATGGGAAAATAATGAAAAACAAACATTTCAGCAAATCTATAATAATCAGATGTCCAAGAGCTTAGTGCATTACCTGGAGAGTCCATCGTCCCGTCAGCTGTAACAGAAAGGCCTGTAAGGATACACTGTAGTGAATATGCTTGCTTACCAAGGGCAAGTAATCTGTTGATCATCTCCTCCGTGCATCCCATGTTTCAGTTTTGGCTGTTCCAAACTATTTGGACAAAAAACAGTGTTAAAAAGAATGTAACTTCACACATACCATTTTAGTACTTGCTTTGGTAAACATTGGTAAACATGTGCAAAGCATGTACACATTGAAATACATTGAGAATAATGCAATAATAATAATGTAATTTACACATGATTGCCTGAATACTGGACATGTTTGTAAGCCTCTCCTTCTTAACTAAACAACGAGACCTTTGCTAAAGCTGTAGATACTTCAGTTGTTTCTAAAACAGCCCCGTTTGTAAACCAAACGCTGCGTATCAGTTCATGTAGCATATCCAGCTAATGCTAGTTGTTGTGTTATTTCCTTCTAACGCAGACATCTAGCTGGGGTTTATTACGGCTGGTATTTTGGAAAAGGAGACATCCATGCCTCATTCTGTGCGTTTTCCACAATTAAAATGCAGCAAAACTCGGTTACTGACAAAAGAAACAGCATTTTGCTGCGTAGCCTTTTGATGCACAGACCGCTGCGTTGAAAGCAACTAACACTACTTTTCCCCACACGTATTTAGAAACAACCGCCTTACCTTTCAAGCACTTCTGGGTCTGGGCTGGAGTTTCAGCGCTGCCTGAAGCCGGTCTCTTGTTATTCTCCACAGTATTCATCTTTCCAGAGCCACCTCTGCAGCTTCAGTAGTGACAGATACAGCCAGCACTGCTACAGCTAACGTGAACGTGCACGACGTCACGTGTTCGACCCATAGACTGTATGTTCGACCCGAAGACACACATTTCAGGCATATAAAGACAAGTTTACAGGCATATAGAGGCAATTGTGGTGAAAGCAGCCTCCGCCTATTTCCTCACATTTTCAGGTTAAGACTGAACCAGACTGAACCAGACTGAACTCACTTGAGGCCTGGCTGCTTTCTGCTGTTTCCAGCCGGACGAAAATAATGGGGTGCACAGGCTTTGGCGCACACTTCCGGTTGCCCCAAAACGAAAAATGAAATCAAATCGGCATGATAGCATTATTCAATATTTCGTTTTTTTAATTTTTTGCATAAGAACAAAAAATCAAATATCAAGCCAATTTTTTGTTTTTCCTCTTCCTCATCAAAATGAAAAATGAAAATTCAAGCCATTTTTTTATATTTAATTTTGCATTTTAATTTGAAAAGACAATTGAACGAAAAATACACGGACCGCCGACCCCTGGTCTAGCCCCTTGTGAATTTTGACCCATCTGTTGACACGAGACGACAGCGGGAAAGGTTGGAGTGAAAGAGTGAAACTGAACTTACAACTTTTAAAATGTGTCTTCTAAAGTCACACAGTGAGTCGAAAAGATACGTGAGAGAGACGTGAGAGCGGCCAGAGAGAATCACATCATATTGTACTCAGTCGTTTTGACACAGCAGCCTGTGTTGCTCAGTGGCCAATAGGGTTTGTCGTTGTTTTTCTTCGGTGTGAATGCGGCTTTAGACTTTGCTCTTGCCGCAGGAGTCCTGAGTGCGACACGGACTACGGCTCCTTCATGATGCGGCCGCACGTGTCTTACTCCACGTGGCAGATGTTCAACTGACTGAACTGGAGCCAAGAGGATCCGTCGCCCCGCTGTCAGTGCAGCTCTAAGGACGTGAGGCGCATGCTGCCCGAGTGTCCCCAGGGCGCGGGCGGGCTGCCGGCGCCTCAGGTAACACACTCCTGCCTTGTTTTGTAGTAATACAAGAGTATCAACCAGGGTCCTTCCTTCTTGGGTGTATGTGGTCTCTTTGTGGATTCTCGCTTACTGTCCTCTCCCTCGTTATCTCTGTGGTCTCTCTTTCTCGCTGATATCTCTCATTGGTCTCTTTCTTGTCTATCTCTGGTCACGTTCTGTGGGCTCTCTCTGGTCTCTCTTTCTGGTCTTTCTGTGGCCTCTGTCTCGGTTCTCTCTCTCTCTGGTCCCTCTCTCTAGTGTCTCTTGTCTATCTGTGGTCTCTCTCTCTGTTCACTGGTCTCTCTCTGGTCTGCTAGGCGTTCTTGTCTTCCTTGTAGTGGAGACACAGTTCCAAGCAACACGCCAACCTCTCAGTTTTGGCACAGAATCTTTAACACAAATCAAAACACGTTGGGGAAAAAACAGCTAATGATGACGTCACCAAAATTACAATAATCAGTTGTTTAGATGGATTGGTTGTAAACATGTGTGGTCTATAATTGGACAGGTCTTTTATAACTGTATAAATATAAATGTGTTTGTGTTCCAGAACAGTTCTGTGGACGAGCTGCTGAAGGGTCTTCCTGAAGTGTGGGGAGGACTCCATAGTCAGGACAACGTGAAGGTGAGAGACCAGAGAGAGACCAGAGAGAGACCAGAGAGAGACCAGAGAGAGACCAGAGAGAGACCAGAGAGAGACCAGAGAGAGACCAGAGAGAGACCAGAGAGAGACCAGAGAGAGGGAGACCAGAAGAAGACAAGACCAGAGAGCGATAAGAGAAAGACTCGAGCAGTGGCTCTTAACCGTGTTGGAGATGCCAAAAAGTGGTCTCACTAGACGGCTGTGGGCATGGATCTAGGCCGTGGGTCACAGTTATTGTGGCCCCAAGGGCAATATCATCGAAATAGCTTGCTGGAAACAGCAAGCTAGTTTTTTCCCCCTCTGTCGCTGCTGCAGCTGATCTGACAACAACCTACAGCATTATTATTATTATCACCAGTGACCAGAGCTGAGTCAAAGAGTCTGAAAAGAGAAACTTTTCAACGCTGACAAGCCCTTGTGACCGCGGGCCGTCTTCACACCCCTGTGGCGACGAACCGGGCCATTTGGCCGAGTTCAGTAAGTGCACTGGCCATGTTTTCCATTGACAATTAATTCATTCGTGGATTGATGGATTTTGACGGACGGTTATTGAAGAGTTTCCCAGATGAAAGATCGGGTGCAACACTGGTGAGTAGCATTTTATTTTGAACCATTCAAAGGTTTTATTCATGGGCTTTATATGTTAGGTTGTGCATAAAAAATGGGCCGTGGTCCTGAATTGAATTTATTGTGTAGATTTTGCTGCTTGAGGATGTAAAGTTCCCTCTTTGGTGTGAAGCTTTGAATACTAGAGAAAACACGTTTTGTAGTTTTAATACATGTTTTTAAAGAACTTGTGATAAAAGTATGACCCCCAACAACGTGTCTTCTGTCAAATATAAAAAAACATTAAAGAACAACTCACCCTCAAATCCACTTTTTTTTCCTGATAAACTGTATAAATGAGTGTCCAATAGTGTTGTCTACATGTCCTTATCATTATTTTGACATTTTATTTTTGTGTACAAAACCGTCTGTTCAGCGCCTCTCACGTTTGAACAGCACTTACTACATTTGAATTTAGTGGTTGGCAGAGGAGGTGCCATCATACGTCACAGTGCCATCATACGTCACCAAGTCTGCCGCTGTGGTATAAAAGCTGACCCCTCCCCTAGAGGCTCTCGTAGAGTGTTGGAGTTGGAGTTGGATCAGAGCGAGCGAGTTTTTTCACAGCGATTATCAGGTTTGCGTTATTAGTTTAATACTTAGCCAGTTAGATTAGTTACATTTAATATAGTTTTATCCCTAGTAGTAGGCCTAGTTGTTTTATAGCGTTAGTTAGTCTTTAGCTTTATTGTTAGTGTTAGAATAGTTTCCGTTTAGCATAGCCGTTAGCATTGAGCTTTAGTTGTATTGTTTATGTAGTATTAGTGTAGTGTTTTGTGTAGTGTATTGTATAGTTAATAGTAAGTATGGGGAGGAAGTGTATTGTAGTGGGCTGTAGTAGTTCTACTGGTTTACATGGTATTCCAGTAGACTTAGAAATTAGGCGCCAGTGGTTGCGCGCAATTGGCAAGGGCGAAGGTGAACTCCCTTTGCGTCCCGGAGTTTGTGACAAACATTTTTCGCGGGATTCCTACTCCAACGCATTAGCGCTTGAAATGGGCTTCTCCAAGCAGCCGTGTTTGAAGAGAGAGGTAGTCCCCACCCTGGCTCTCCCCACCCTGGCTCTCCAACAGCCATGGCTACCGGGAACGGCATTCACACTGCAGGTAAAAGTGCAAAAATAAAGCTCGCTATGTTGTGTCAACATATTTGATTACAGCTTTGATTTGGGGATTGAAAAGTAAAATATAATAATTTCTATGTGTGTTTTTTTTTAATTGTTATATTTGTTACTGCATCGAGCAGTTAGCATCCTCCTGTAGTAAGTAATACCTGCGCTACTACTCTTCCGAGTCTCACACTACCAAGGCCCAATAATTGACGTGCGCTATTGCTACTTCCTGCAATGGTGCTGCCATCGCCACACTGCGCAATACGCTTGTAGTAGGAGCAGCATAGTGAGCTAATCCTCTTTGGTTATTGTGGTTTGTTGAATATGGAGGGTGAGTGTGTATATACGCGCTAACGCGTCAGTCTGCACAACAATGGCAAGGCAAGGCAAGTTTATTTATATAGCACAATTCATACACAAGGCAATTCAAAGTGCTGAACAAAACAAGAAAGCATTAAAATCATAAATTATCACAGAACATTAAAAAGAAAGATAAAAATATAAAATCCCTCAGTTGTATGCACAGTTAAACAGAACCGTCTTTAACCTGGTTTTAAACATTGTCAGAGAGGAGGCCTGTCTCACATCTTCAGGAAGACTGTTCCAGATTTTAGCAGCATTAATCTGAAAAGCAGCCTCCCCATGTTTAGTTCTGACTCTGGGCACTAACAGGAGTCCAGTCCCTGTGCTCCTCAGAGTCCGGGCTGGTTCATATGGGACTAACATGTCACTAATATATTTTGGTGCGAGGCTATGGAGAGACTTGTACACAAGCAGAGCTGTTTTAAAGTCTATTCTCTGAGCCACAGGAAGCCAGTGCAGAGACCTGAGGACTGGACTAATGTGGTCGTACTTCCTGGTTCTTGTCAGGACTCGAGCTGCTGCATTTTGAATGTACTGCAGCTGTTTTACAGCCTGTTTGGACAGACCTGTGAGCAGGCCATTGCAGTAGTCTAACCTACTGGAGACAAATGCATGGATAAGAATCTCCAAGTCTGCTTTAGACACTATGTTTTTGATCCTGGCAATGTTTTTTAGATGGTAAAAAGCTGCTGATGTTACTGATTTGATGTGGCTATTAAAATTTAAGTCTGAGTCCAGTATTACCCCTAGATTTCTGACCTTGTTTGAAGGTTTTAGGGAGAGAGACTGTAGGTGACAGATGACGCTCTCTCTTTGTTTCTGGGGACCAAAGACAATCATTTCAGTTTTGTCTGCGTTTAGCTGAAGGAAGTTGTTTTGCATCCACTCACTGATCTGTTGGATACAGTGAAGGAGTGAGTCCACTGGTCCATGTTCTCCTGCAGTCAGTGAGACATAGATCTGAGTGTCGTCTGCATAGTTATGATAGGAAACTTTGTTTCTGCGTATTAACTGACCTAACGGCAGCATGTAGAGATTGAACAGAAGAGGTCCCAGGATCGACCCCTGTGGGACTCCACAGGTCAGGGCCATATGATCTGAGACACAGTTTCCAATCTCCACAAAGTACTTCCTGTCTTCAAGGTAAGACCTAAACCAACTTAGGGCGGTGCCAGTGACGCCAACCCAGTCCTCTAGTCTCTGTAAGAGGATCTCATGGTCGACGGTGTCAAAGGCAGCACTTAGATCTAACAAGATTAAGATTGAGACTTTGCCTGCGTCAGTGTTCAGCCGGATATCGTTTGTAACCTTAACGAGAGCAGTCTCAGTGCTGTTACGCCGACACGGCGCAACTGTGCATGAGAATACGCACCAAACTTATCTGTTTTGTGATGACTGTACGTTTCATATTTAGCAATAGCTGCGTGAAACGTGAGAGCATCTACAAGCTAACGTAGAGCTACAATTTACTGTGTGTCTGAGGCTAAACTGACTAGACAGGTGCAGGTCATTGATGAGAGGGATGACCAGGGTGCTCACAGATATCAGTGTTTCTGACGTGTTTCTGCTAATCGTGTTATCAATACAAGTACATCAATCCAAGTTTAAATTCATATATTTTTTACCCTTACATAATTTTAGTTCAAATAGCAGATAGTATATCATCTGTTATTCCTTGTCCACACTCCACTGCGATAAAACTGAAGCATACGTCATTTAGCAGAACTGCATTTTTAAAACTAAATGAAAGCTGACTTTCAAGTTTAGAGAGTATTATCCTGACCGTACACAATATGAATTATGATCATATGTTGTGTTTGTGTGACTGTGTTTTTAGCCAAAATCAACCCGTGAAATTGGCTGCCAGACTGATGCACTACTTGGCGTGCATGAATCTGTCCAGGCCAATTTGAAACCTGCCAGGAGAAGCAAAGGTGATAATTGTTGGGAGCTTTTGCTAATTGAATAGTTTTGCTGTAACTCTTGCCTAGTGCATTTACTAACCTTTTTGTTTTTTACACAGCCATCCAGGTACAACCTCATTGCAGGACCATGTCTTGCAATACAGAGGCCTTGATGGAGGTTCAGTTTCCTGAAGCTCCCATGGCAACCTCCACACCGGTCAAAAGACCAAGGTGCGAGGTGTCAGCCTCTGACCCC